ATCCAAACGAGATTGGAATGACCGTATGGAAGAAGCTCTATGGGCATATAGGAAGACTCACCGCACGCCAACACAAGCAACTCCTTATTTACTCGTTTATGGAGTCGAAGTCGTCTTGCCACTTGAGCGTCAAATACCTTCGTTACGACTGGCTATTCAAGAAGGGATTACTAATGAAGAAAATGCTCGACTTCGATTAGCAGAGTTGGAGGCTCTTGATGAGAAGAGGTTGGAAGCTCAACAGACTCTTGAATGTTATCAAGCTCGATTATCTCGCGCCTTCAATAAAAGAGTTCGCCCGAGATCCTTTCAAGTAGGAGATCAAGTCCTTGCCGTACGAAGACCCATAATTACTTCCCATAAACCTGTAGGGAAGTTCACTTCAAAATGCTATGGGCCATATGTCGTACAAGAAGCTTACTTAAGTGGGGCTTACAAGTTGGTTGATGCAGATGGCATGAGAATTGGCCCTATCAATGGCATGTTTTTAAAGAAGTATTATCCTTGTATTTGCAACGCTCCTTGACGCACGAGCCTAAACTGCATGTTGCTACACTCCTGGCCCGCATGAGTCTAAACTGTGTACGGCCCCTACAAAAAAAAAGTCCGCTAGGTTGAAACTTCGAAAGAGGCGGCCTAGGCAAAAGTTAGGACATAAAAAAAAATCACCCAATTTGAACTACGGTATGACTTGATCCTCTTCACCGAGGTACGTAGGCAACTTAGAGTTTCATTCTAAGTTCAGTGGCATAAGTTCAAAAGATACATAGTGCCCCAATTGTTGTCTGAGTGAAGTATGAAAGGAATGTAAAATCAAGCTGAAACGTCATCCTCCTGTTGAAATTTGGACCCCATTTGATTTGATGGAGGCAAGTTGCTATGGTAAAATGGTATCTTCACTGAAATGATGACAATATTTGCATCAAAATCTGGGGACTATGTCTTCATGTTCGCATAACCTTCAAGTTTGTTGGTCTTCATATCCGCTCACTGCCCTTATAAAAGAGGGATGTCTGTGTCAGACTTTTTTTTCAAGGTCTTCGTTGCGAACTTTTAAAGGTGTTCATCCCGAACTTTTAAAGGCATTCGAATCTTTAAAGGTCTTCATTGCGAACTTTTAAAGGTGTTCAACTTGAACTTTTAAAGGCATTCGAATTTTTTAAAGGTTTTCGTTGCGAACTTTTAAAGGTGTTCGTCTCGAACTTTTAAAGGCATTCGGATTTTTAAGGTTTCGTTCTGAACTTTTAAAAGACGTATGTTTCGAACTTTTAAAAGTGCTTGTGAAGGTGCTCGTGGAAAACTATAAAGAGTCCCCATTGCCGACTTTTAAAGATTTCTACCACGAATTTTTAAAGGTCTTCATTGCGTGCTTTTAAAGGTCTCCACCGCAAACTTTTAAAGGTCGTCACCGCGAACTTTAAAAAATCTTGGCCACGAGATTTTAAGGATCTTTACACGAGCTTTTAAAGGTCTTCGCCACAAATTTTAAAGGTCTTCATCGCGGACTTTTATGGGCTTCGCCGCGAATTTTAAACATCTTCGTCGCGTGCTTTTAAGAGTCTTCACAGCGAGCTTTTAAATGTCTTCATGGTGAACTTTTAAAGATCTTGACTTCGAGCTTTTAAGGGTATTTGCAAGAGCTTTTAAGGGTCTTTGCCACGAATTTTTAAACGTCTTTGTCGCGTGCTTTTAAGAGTCTTCACCGCGAGCTTTTAAAGGTCTTCACTGTGAACTTTTAAAGATCTTGACCAAGAGCTTTTAAGGATCTTTATGCGAACTTTTAAAGGTCTTCGCCACGAATCTTTAAAGGTCTTCATCACGTGCTTTTAAAGGTCTTCACCACGAACTTTTAAATGTCTTCACCGTGAACTTTTAAAGATCTTGACCACGAGCTTTTAAGGATCTTTATGGGAACTTTTAAAGGTCTTCGCCACGAATCTTTAAAGGTTTTCATCACGTGCTTTTAAAGGTCTTCACCGAGAACTTTTAAATGTCTTCACTGTGAACTTTTAAAGATCTTGACCACGAGCTTTTAAGGATCTTTACGCGAACTTTTATGGGTCTTCACCGCGAACCTTTAAAGGTCTTTACCACGAACTTTTAAAGGTGTTCATCGTGAACTTTTAGAGGTCTTGACCACGAGCTTTTAAGGATCTTTATGCTAACTTTTATGGGTCTTCGCCACAAATTTTAAAAGTCTTCATCGTGAACTTTTATGGTTTGCCGCCGCAAATTTTAAAGATCTTCATCATAATCTTTTAAAGGCGTTTCGTCTCGAACTTATAAAGGACTTCGTAGTTTGATGAAGTTACTTCTAAAAGGAAAAAAAAGAGACAACAAGTAAAACAAGAAAGAAAGCACAAGAGAAGAAGAATACCTTCGCGTTAATGCATCCGAATCGTGAAAGGTAGACTCGATGTGGACTGCAAACACAGCAATTGATGCCAACTGAATGAAATGCATGACCTATTTATAGGTGCAGTGATGCGGCTCTTAAGATGACTAATAACGATGTGGGATTGCTAATTGTTAGAAAGAATTGGATATCTTAATCTGGTTGGAAAGGAGAAGTCCTAGGCGGCGAAAGTCTTCTATTCCTAATGGGAAAAGTTGTCGTGATTTCATTAAATCGCGTGAGCATGCAACAACATATATTAGAACTGTTGCTTATGTCAGCAACCATTCCTTGAAGTATAATATGGTAAAGCTATTGATTTTGAAGTCTTTCAAAATGGAAACCCACATAACAGTGTGCAGTAGTAATTTTGGCAATTAAAATTTAATAGCTTTTACATTCCATGTGATTGAGGCATGTGATTATGAAATTTAAAGTTCGAATGCTTTAACATTTCATATGATTTAAGTCAAAGCCAGTTCAAGTGTGTACTAATACGAATACTTCAAGCCTAGTCTTCAAAAGTCAAAAGACCTTAACAAGATGACATCTTCCTAGAGGCCCAATTTGGTGCCATGTGTCAGATGACGTAACGCGCCAAGTCAAACGGAAGAGCCAATAGGATCATGTCACGTGTCAAAATGACAAAGCATGCCAAGTCACACTAAAAGACCAATGAAATCGCGCCACGTGTGCAAGTGACATGTTCTGGCCAATCAAATGCGGCCATGACACACTTCAATTTGATTTGTCGGAAAGAGTTTGTTCTAATCATGACTCATCCCTTCCACAGCTATAAATAGGGGTCTTCATAACCCAGAAAAGGGACCAGAAGTTATAGCAAGAAGCAAGAGAGAGCTCGTGGATCAAATGCCGCAAATTTCTATACAAGTTTTAGGCTTCAAGCAACCAAGTTCAAGTTTAAGAACGAAGAATGAATCAAGTTCAAGCTCAAGAATGAAGAACAATTCAAGTATTCAAGATCAAGAACAAAGTCAAATCAAATACAAGGCGTTCAAGATCAAGGCTACTTGTTTGTGATAAAATTCGTGGCAACAATCAAAGTGTTCACGACGGATAAATCAAATTCAAATTCAAGATCAAGCTCGAAGGCTCTTGAATTTATACTAGAAAAGTAGAATCAAAGGAATCATAAAGATTGTAACACTCAAATATTCGACACAAAATACTATGATTGTTGCGATATTTTTGGTCTTGATTTTATTTTCACGACACAAATTTATTGTCTACACTTTTGACGCAGAGTAAATTTATATATAAAAATTTATTAAAATTGCAAAAATAGTATATGTGAACCCATAACTTTTAAATATATAATAGGTTTAATGCTAAAAACTTTAAAAGTTGAACCCATAGGATTTAAATCATGGATCCTCCTATGATATTACTTTCTATGTAGTTTCCAAATATGTACAAAAAAAAAAAGTTAAAAAATTGGAAAATCTGTGTTCGAATTTATATAAAACTTAGTCGATTTGACCTTGTACTGTGAAAATATTCACGTAAATGAAACGCAGGGAGTAATTTATATATTTTCTCACTAAGGTATTGTAATTGGATTAACTTAACACTTAAAAGTAAGAAAATGTATTTCCGCGTTGAACGATGTCTCATAGCTTTGGCAACACTAAGGCCCCGTTTGGCCATGAGTTTTGCCAAAATAAATTTGGGATTTATTTTCAAAACACATGTTTGGCCATAAATTTTGCCCATATTTTGGCCAAATCCCAAATTCCAAATTTCAAATCCCAGCCAAAATCCCAAAACTTAGGAATTATATACATGTTTTTCCAAAATAAAATTGGAAAATATGTTTTGAAAACGTATGTCCAAACACATTTTCATCTTCAAACCAAACTTCACCCAAATCCGATTTTTCAAAATAAATTTGGGATCTATGGCCAAACGCTAGCTAAGTAGCTGACCCCATAGGAATTTTTCGAGTTTTTACCCAAATGATCCACTGAGTTTGGGAGTAAAGGTTGTTTTTTTCACTATTATATTACGTTAAGCTTAAATTGATCCTTTAAGCTTATTACAGCTTCTAGCATTTTTGGTCCAACTGAAGAAACTTCCAAGTGACGATCATTTAGAACTAACTGAAATAACATAGTAAGTATGTATTTTACATGGCCAGCTAATTAATTAACAATCTTCATCGAGGCCTTCTTTCCCAATTTCATATTTTTGTCCCTGTCGTGATTTATCTTCATTATCAACATTTTTTTCTGATTTTTACAGTGATTCTATTATCTTCACTTTTTCTTTCTTAGTGCAGAAATAAGAGGAAAAAAATGAAATTTGGAGAAGTCGATCTCTATCGGAATCGTTTATACAATAGCGACATGAAAACAACTGACAATTTTGTTCCGTCAATTGGACTAGATGTGCTTAGCTTTTGCAAACTTAAAAAGCTTATCTGCTCATTGAATAAGGACTAAAATAAGCATACCTTCTAACTTAAGGGACAATTTGAGTTTAAAAAGTGGGAAGTTTACACTGAATAGCTTTTGGGACAACTTAATAGTCATATGTAATGCTGTCTTTATGTTTTGGTTGATTTATTTAATGTTTATAGTATTGTTATATGATAGAAATTAAAAAAAAAAAAGAACAAGTCGTTAAGGGAAAAACTTCAATTCTTTCCGGGTTCAGTAGGCTGCTGGGATTCTCTTTTTTCTTCTTCCCTCACCAAACCCCCTTCTTCTCCATCTACCAAATCAACCATTCCCATCACACAACAATTCAACGATCAGAATGGCTTTATCCACAAATCGGACGGTTAACCACCTTCTAAAGCCATTATCCGCCGCCATATGCGCCACGCGCCGCCTATCGTCCGACACCATCACCGTCGAGACTAGCATTCCATTTACCGGCCACAACATCGATCCTCCGTCACGCACCGTCGAGACAAGCGCCAACGAACTCATGACTTTCTTCAAAGACATGGCGGAGATGCGGCGGATGGAGATCGCCGCAGATTCGCTCTACAAGGCGAAACTCATCCGCGGATTCTGCCACCTCTACGACGGCCAGGAGGCCGTTGCCATAGGCATGGAAGCTGCAATTACCAAAAAGGACTGTATCATTACGGCTTACAGGGATCACTGTTTATTCCTAGGGCGTGGCGGAGGGTTATACGAGTCATTTGCGGAACTAATGGGGAGAAAAAATGGGTGTTCGAAAGGAAAAGGAGGATCAATGCATTTTTATAAGAAGGAGAGTGGATTTTATGGAGGTCATGGGATTGTAGGTGCTCAAGTTCCTTTAGGTATTGGACTTGCTTTCGCGCAAAAGTATTCGAAAGAGGAGCATGTTACTTTCGCGATGTATGGTGATGGTGCTGCTAATCAAGGACAGTTGTTTGAGGCTTTGAATATGGCTGCTTTGTGGGATCTTCCTGCTATTCTTGTCTGCGAGAATAATCACTGTAAGATTTATACTTTTTTTTTCTTCATAAGGTATACTATAAGGGGTCGTTTGGTTGCCGGTTAGAGTTATGCAAGTATTAGTTATGCAGGGATTAGTTATGCAGGGATAAGTAATGCAGGGATTAGTTATGCAGGTATTAGTTATGCAGAGATTATTTTTTTGAATGTTTGGTTTGTTGTATTAGAAATTGATATACATTATATAAATTTTAAAAAGTAAAATGCTTGTTTACAACTATACCCCTGACCTTCTTTTGCATTGTTTTTTCTCTCTTTCCATTTATGTAGGAAACAATTTAGTTAGGAACTTTGAGTGTTACTTTCACTTCTTCGTCATACTACTGAACTATGTGAAGTTTAGACATATTTGATTTTCACTTCTTAGTTTTGGTATTTTCATTTTCTAGTGGCTTCTCCAGTTTGCTTTTGCTAGTTTGTTCTTTAAAAATGAGAGAAGACAAGGTATATAGTTGGCAAGTGAAAGCAAGTGAAACCTGTTGACGGGTTGGCAGAGAAATAAGGAAGCCTTATGTGTAAAGTGATAGGGGTAAATTTGTCATTTCAGTATTTTATCCATGTATTACTAATACATGTATTAGTTATTCCATCTTCTACCCCGCATAAAATAATACACAGATTGACTCATAACTTATACATGTATTATTTATGCATAATTGAAAAATGTCAACCAAACATGGTATTAGTTATGCAGAATTTTATACAAAATAACTATTGCCTACCAAACATGGTATAAGTTATGTTACCCCTTATACATGAATAACCTTTCTTCTAACCAGCTACCAAACGACCTCTAAGAGTTTATGTTATATACAATGTCACTGTAAAATTTTTTTACACTATTAGGTCACCTAACAGGTAAGCCATTTTGTAATTCTGAAAGTAAGGCAGATTACCTGCTACAATAGGTAATTGTGGCCTGATAGTGTAATATATAACTTGAACTCATACTGCAAGTGATGTATGTTTTTATATTGTAATTGGAGTAGTAGAGTTGTTGATATTGTGGTGCAAGTTTAGGACTACGAATAGCATTTGATGTTCATGAAAAGAAAAGGAACAATTTATTGGTTGCTTATATAAGTTTATGCGAAGAATTGTGACTTAAAGCATAGGATTTTGAGTGGTTGTTTTTGTTGATGCAGATGGAATGGGGACAGCAGAATGGAGGGCTGCAAAGAGTCCAGCCTATTACAAAAGAGGAGACTATGTTCCTGGTTTAAAGGTGAGACCAAATTACAGCAAATCCATTGTTGTAATTTGTAGACAGAATTTAGATGTTTACTTTATGTGTTAAGTAGGTACTGAAGACAACATTTGACATTAGATATCTGGAATAGCTAACTTATCTTCAATTTGAATCTTGGAATATGTGCTGCTTGATGAGCATTAATAAGTTCGAGTGCTACTGTCAATTTTGAATTTTGTCATCTTAGCTTAAAGGTAAAATAGCATTGAAAGCCTGGTAGTGTTATCCTTGTTTTCGATCACTAATTTTAATGTTAGCATAGCAATTCTTTCTCTGCAATTGTTAATTCTTTGTGAATATATTCATATTACATAGCTTTTTCATTCTCAAAGACTCAAACAATACGTGCATATATTTTTCTTAGGTTATTGATTGTAGCAAAATCTTTAAAAAGTCTTTTATTTCCAAGAAAGGTGGTGTCATCAGCTTTCTAGCAGCATGACTATTACGCCTTACCTGCTGTCTCGTACCAATATAGGTACCAAGTAACTTTGTCCACCTAAGATAGATTAAAAGAAATCACCTTTTTTTTTTCTTTTTTGCATCAGCTCAGATTTGAACCGCGGTCTTTCATGGTTCATTTCAAGTTCATTGACCATTAGGCCATACCCTTGGGTGCAGAAAAATTGTGAGATCCATATAACATTGTAATATTCATATAACAGATATTTCAGAACCCATGGATGACAACTTCAGCACTATAATTCTTATGCAAATTTGCAGTTATTCATGGATAAGTATCATTATATATATGCATGATGCTCTAAACTCTGGATATAACTTTGGGAGATTTGTTTAAACAACCAACTTTTAGGAAAGTAAAGCATCAAGTGCTAAATTAATGTAAAATTGATGAAGAATCTATGTGAGAAAACTATTTAAAAAGCTGCAATGACACAAAAGATGTGTTTCTCTTATGCATTTATTGGGTTTGAGGATGGTTATGCAAGGAACACATCCCTCGATGGTCAGGGAGTTGTATTTTTGTGCTATTAGGTGGACAAGCAATGGTAATGTCATTAAAAGTCAGCGCTTCTGGTTCGCTCGGAGACATCTGAACAAAATGGAAGAAAAGTGATCTCTTTTGCTCTTAAAGTGAGGGGTTATTGCTCCATAGGTGAAGCCATGTCATTTATAAAAGTGTGCGCTTCAAAGCAATGACTCGCAAATTGATCCGTGCAAGATTTGAATCTCAACTTTGAGAAGTTGGATTTGTATCGACATTATTGTATATTGGATACTGAGTTAGTTATTTCAATTGCAATTTGAGCATTATAGTGCTAAATTCATATATGTGTGCTGCTTTTTGATGTCACATATTGTGCGCTGCACTTAAAAAAATATCTGTGCTTCACTTTTCTAAGTCTCATGGACCTTATCGCTCTTTTCTGCTTTGGGCTTTTAAAAGCAGTGAGCAAGAGGTGGATTTTCACATGTTTTTATACCACAAAATTGCTTATCGCTTGTTTATATGATAAACAGTAATATTCTTACCACCCACATCTCCAACATAGTAGGAAAAGGAAAAAAAACTGAGAAAGCTTCTCCTGCTGCCAAGATAAAGACCCAATAATCATCCTAAGTGAGATTCAAAGTAGAGATTCAGAATAGGATGTAAAAGTGTGCTATTGATGTTCTTCGTTTTATGTTTCAAAATAGGTGGATGGTATGGATGCTCTTGCTGTGAAACAAGCATGCAAATTTGCAAAGGAGCATGCCCTCAAGAATGGACCAATTGTAAGTACATAGCATGCCTGAATTCCAGGATTGATATGCAGTTGCATTTCTCACACTCTTGTGTGAGTATGTTGTTGAAAGATGTTTCCGAAACCAGATATTAGATACTATTACGACTTCATAGGTACTGCCACATAGTTACCTTTATCAGCCAAGGTTGGAGATGAGTAATATGGAAGGAGGAAAGTAGCTTGAGAAGAAATGAATATGAGATGCTAGATCTTTCAAATTACATGGCTTAATAGTCGTCATATTTTCTTCTTTTCCATAATACGTTCAAGTTTCTTGACTTGGTATTATTCCATGTTTTATGGTTCTTATTTTGACCAATGTGTTTCATGGTCATAGAGCCCGTTTCTAGGAGCTTAAGAAAGTTCATCACCTTAGTTGAGATAATTCTTTTCTTCTTTGCTCTCCCTTCTGCTTTAAGAGATATTTTGAAAATTTGTGATTCACTATAATTATGCTATTACCTCTTGTAACCGATCTTCCATTGCCAGTTTGTAGAACTATGATGCATATTGATCCTTTGGAACAGTGTGTTTTGTGGTTGAATCATGTCATGGTTTGTTGAATGCTTAATGAGAATTTTATTTCATTTCATTTATTACTCTATCATGTCATTGTTTGTTGAAATTATTGCAAATTCCATTGTTCTTCCAAGTTTTTAATTTCATTCTTTGCATATCATAGCAATTTAATGTTTTTCCTCTCTGTTATGTTCAGATTCTTGAAATGGACACCTACAGGTACCATGGTCACTCCATGTCTGATCCTGGAAGCACCTACCGTACACGTGATGAGATTAGTGGTGTTCGGCAGGTAAATAATTTAATTAGACTTTCTGACAATCTGAACGTGCTGATGAGTCATGAAATATCTTGATAAGGTTATCTTTATCATTACAGGAACGTGATCCTATTGAAAGAATTAGGAAACTCATATTAGCTCATGATATAGCCACTGAGAAGGAGCTGAAGGTAAGTTTTGATGTCATGACTATGTTTGAAACCTGGACCATATATCCGATAATTGATTTTGTGGCTCTTGGCCTATAATGCTAAACTGATTTGTCCCTTTTTGTTATGTCCAGGATATTGAGAAAGAAAAGAGGAAAGTGGTAGATGAAGCCATTGCTAAAGCAAAGGTGAGAAAGATGATGCCATTTTGTTCAATTTGTTTTTGATTCTAGAATTATAGGAATTGCTATAAGGCATAATGGCTGATTACTGATTGCTCATATTTATTTTCAGGAGAGTCCCATGCCTGATCCTTCAGAACTGTTTACTAATGTATACGTGAAAGGGTTTGGAGTTGAGGTGCGTAATTGTTTCGATCCAGTTTCTATCTCTTTGTTATAATAAGAAGATACATATATCCATAAATCTAGTTATAAACATTTAATTGTTGTAATGGTAAAATAAAATTGTCTTAGAAATGTTAGACAACCCGCGCTGATTCCTCCTCTCCCCTCCCGTAAAAAACAGAGTATTGAAGTTGGATATAATGATTCTGTGGAGATTTTTATGACACAGAAGTCCCTAAAAGTTCAGTAGATTGGTTACATGTGCCCATTATTTTTGTTAGAACACGTGGTTGACAAGTGCTAATTACTTTACATAATGCTTGAATGCTATATGGTGGACTGCCTATTAAATTTCAGGAGTAATGTTAGTGACAGCAAATTCAACATGGTCTTCTCCTTTCTAAAAGTGGCCTATGAAGTTTAAGTTAATTGATTAGGTCTGACAGTGTTACCTTGCAATTTGATATGGAGGGGGGATCTTTGTCGAACAAATATTATGGTCATTTTTGACCAAGCAAGGAAGGTTTAACTCCTAGGCTGTACTGGACACTAGAATGCCTAAGCTGCAGCTTGATTATCTCTTGATCACTAATTCCATATTGTGATATAATCACAAGGATGTGGTATTGCAGAAGCCATCATATGATTTTTCAGTTTTCTGGAAGTATTTATATGATGGCTTTAGGAGGTGGAACCTGTTTATTTTTCTATGGAAAGAGTGATTGTAATTAGCTTTAGAGAGGTGGCCTAGTTCTTGGGCAGCAGAAAAAGTGATTTGGTTTGTTAACAGGGAGTTGTATACTGTTATTACACGGAGTAATATGACTATATAGCAAATAAAAATGTTTCTAAAAGATGGGTTTCTTCAAGGATAGTTCTATTTTTGAGTGAATTGCTTAGTTTCTCATGTTTAGATGGCATGATTGACTGACGGGTGTGTTTTTCAGGCCTTTGGAGCAGATAGGAAAGAAGTCAGAACCACACTTCCCTAAGGCAAAGATATGGTTGCCTTTTTTATTTGCCTTGCTTGGAAGTTGGACCCTTAAGAGGGGGATAACTGCAGACAACAATAATTGTGATGACAAAAGCTTGAGTTTCCTCTGATTGCATATATATTGGAACGGTTTATCTTTATTGTAGGAAATGGTTCTTTGTCTATGATTTTTTGCTCTTGTGGCAGACACTTGGCGTGTGAATTTTTTTACAAGATTGCAATTTCATATAGTAATAAATATGACATGCGACCACTTTGTAGCTTGAGTTGCTTTGTACTCTAAAACATTATTACCTCAATTTTGTGTCCTGTTGTGTCCATAACTTTTTTTGTTAGTTCTTTGTTTGAGGGAAGAGATGTTAGCCACATAGTGTTAATCGTGTCTTTAATACAAGGCGAAGCGCGGAATTGGTGTTAGTCACTATTTAAGTATTCTGTGCTTGCAGTTAGGTGTTTTGAGGTAGGGTGTAAAGGTAAGAAGGAAGTGGGTTTTTTATTGTACCTGAATTCCTTGAAACGTTAAATTTCTGCTGAATGCTTTCCAACTTGTTTGGGGAGGACGAAGGCGAGATTTTTAAGCTCTTATTTGGTGTTCTGAATGAAATATTTCCTGCACAATTGCCTTATAAGCCAAGGATTACTTCATAGAGTAATGATTTTTGTGGAGTTACCTTCATTGTTGAACATATTCTTCCATTTGTTATTCTTGTCTCTATTTGCCTCAGTACAAACCATCCATTATCTCCCTTTTCATTTGAATAACTGCAGTGTTCGGGTAGTTCTGCTTGCATCTCGAGTAATTCATTGAGTACTTGTTATTTTCTACGACTACTGGTATTGGATTCTGTTCTGCCTATCAATGTCTAGATCTCTCTGCTTAGCCTTATTTTGTGTTGGAACATCAACTCCTATGTTCCTCCTCTTTCATGAGTCCTAAAACACTTGCTCCTTCCAGCCCTCTGCTTCTCTTATGAGCTTTTTGCTCTTATGCTGTTCTTTTCTTTTTTGTATTACCTACAATAATGAATTAGCTCAAGTGGTTATTGTTTGGAGATATCTGCCCCTATGTTTTCTGATGAACGAGTTAGCTTCAGACTGTAAGAGAATGTTATCACTTAGTCTAAAATCTGACAAAAACTAAATTTGTTTATTCGACTCCTAGGGGGTTAAAGAGGACAGGGATGAGGAAGAGGTAAAACTTAAACTTACATGTCTTGCAAGGTGAAAGAATTGAGGACAAGAGGGGATTGACTTCAGAATTGTTGACTTTTCCCCTCTATGCAAGTTGATGGGAAATAGGGATAACTACAACAACAACAACATACCCAGTAAAATCCCACAAATAGGGTCTAGGGAAGGTAGTGTATACGCATACCTTACCCTTACCTGGCGAGATAGAGGCTGTTTCCAATAGACCCTCGGCTCAAGAAAAGGTGAAAAGAGAGAAAGGAAGAAGACGAAGAAGAAAGAGGAAGAAGAAAGAAAAAATAGAGGGACGAAGGACGATAAGGAAAAGAGAAAAAAGATAACTATAGTAACAACAACAACAACAACAACGAAACCAGTAACAGAAAATAGATGGGATAACTCTACCCTCTTAACTTATTAATTTTTTTCAATGTATCTTTCAACCAAGAAAGAGAGTTTTGTTCTTCAAAAGTCGTTTAAACAGCAAACACACCGCTCAGGGTCGTTTGGTTGGTTGTATAAGAATAATACTAAATATTGTGTACTAGTAATGTTAGGATTAGCAGTACTAGAATTAGTTATGCTGAGATTATTTCTTGTCAACTGTTTGGTTTGGTATATTAAAAATAACATGCATTGCATCTTTTTTTAAAAAAGGTTATTTGTTTACAAAAATATACTCTACGTTCTTTGGAAATGATTTGGAAAAGGTTTTGAAAGGGCAATTTAGTCTTTATACATTTATTAAAAATTATAGTATTTTGCTAATACCATGGTTTTGATATGTATAAGAATAGTATTGAATAGGGTGTACAACTAGTACTATTAGTCTGTGGTGTAGCCAGAAATTCCGTCAAGGGTGTTCGAACTTTAAACAAGTCAATAATTTTTTTTGTCGATGGATAGTATACCAAAATTTTAGATCAAATTACGCAACATTTAGCTAAATAATAAAAAATATTTCTAGAACTATACTTTGATAGATCAAAATAAAAATAACAAAAAGACAACATTAGAAATTTTTACTAATAAAAGCAAGCATAAAATCAAAAGAAAGAGAGAATCGACAGGATTTGTAATTTTTAGAGAACTTTTGTTGAAGAAAATTTGGTATGGCTTGACTTTTAAATTATAGAATTTAATTAAGAAATAACTTTTAGGTACAAAATTAATTTTAAGATTAGTTGTTTATTGCTACAGAAATTTCAAGTTTTAAAAGTTATTTTATTAAGAGATTTTTGAGATTGAAAAAGAATCAAATAGACCACACGGTGGTCTTTGTTTATTTATGAAAAATAAAATGGGTAGAACTTTGAACCTGTGAACAACATGTTACTTGAACTCCCTGAACCACCAGACTGCTTCACTTAACTGTGTTAAGAGTGTTAAAAATAAAATATATAATCACATAAAATAATACAACAACAACATCAACAACAACCTAGTGAGATCCCACATGTGGGGTCTGGGGAGGGTAGTGTGTACGCAGACCTTACCCCTACTCCGGAGTAGGGGCGTGCATTCGATTTATCGATTCGATTTTGACCCTTATCGATAATTACTTATCGATTATCGATTTGTACATATGCTTATCGTTATCGTTTCAATAAGGTTTCGATTATTTCGATTTCGATTTATCTATTTTTGGGGCTTATCGATTCGGTTATCGATTACACCAATAAGAAAATTTGCGGGATTCCACGGAAAGTATGTCACTATAAACACGCCTAACTAATATGGACCAAAAGAAGCTAAAATAAGACGAACACCGTTTATAACATAAAAATTGTGTCAACAAGCACATGCAACGAAACTAAAGTAAGGGATCAAATGTATGCCACCAACACTCCAACGGTATAAAAAAAAATACATCATCACGACTAACTCTATTTTCCATTAATTTGAACTTCATTCCCTTGAGCTTTAAATATGATCATTCCTTAAATGTGGTAGATGAAATAATAGGGTTAGAGACTTAGGGTAAAGGAAAGGGTATTATAGAATAAGGGCAAAAAAATTAAAAAAAAAACTAAAAAAAAATTTTAAAAAAAAATTAATTTTTTTTTAGTATTTCTTATCGGTTTATCGATAAACCGATAAACCGAAGAGGACAAAATCGAAATCGAAATCGATAACTCGATAAGGAAAATTTCGAAATCGAAATCGATAAATCGATAAACCAATAACAAATAATCGATTCGATTTATCGATAAACCGATTCGAATGCACACCCCTACTCCGGAGGAGTAGAGAGGCTATTTCCGGTAGACCCTCAGCACAAGAAGGAAAGAGATAATATATCAGTAGCCGCAAAAGAATCCTAACAGATAACACTAATAACCAGAAAATAGAGAGCAAAGTATTAGCACTAAGCATCAACAAAGGCACAATACTACATAAGCAAGGGAATAATATGTACATACAGGGCCGCTAAACATAATATAGCCTAACTTTCGACCCTAAAGAAGTATTAAGAACAAAACTGAAGCCCCTAGCAGCCTAAAACAAGACACTATCACACTAGCCTCCTATCTCCTAACCTACAACCCTAGTGCTCGACCTCCACAACTTTCTATCAAGGGCCATGTCCTCGGAAATCTGCATCCGCACCATGTCCTGCCTGATCACCTCTCCCCAATATTTCTTAGGCTGCCCTCTACCTCTCCCCATACCCGTCAAGGCCAGCCGTTCACACCTCCTCACCGGTGCATCCAGGCTTCTCCTCTTCACGTGCCCGAACCATCTAAGCCTAGCTTCCCGCATCTTGTCTTCCATGGGAGCCACGCCCACCTACACCCGAATCGTCATTCCTAATCTTATCTAGCTTAGTGTGTCCGCACATCCATCTCAGCATCCTCATCTTTGCAACTATCTTCTGGATATGAGAATTCTTCACTGGCCAGCACTCTGCACCATACAACATAGCCGGCCTAACCACCGTTCTATAGAACATTCCTTTAAGTTCCGGAGGCACCTTCCTGTCACATAGGACACCAGACGCTAGCCTCCATTTCATCCACCCCACTCCTACACAGTGCGTGACATCCTCGTCAATATCCCCATCCTCTTGTATAATCTACCCAAGGTACTTGAAGCTCCCTTTCTTGGGGATGACTTGTGAGTCAAGCCTCACGTCCACGTCCGCTTCACCCGGCATGCTGCTGAACTTGAACTCCGCGTATTTAGTCTTAGTCCTGCTCAACTTGAAACCTTTAGACTCAAGGGTTCGTCTCCAAACCTCCAACCTCTCATTAACACTGCCTCGCGTCTCATCAATCAGTACTATATCATCAACGAATAACATACACCATGGCACCTCCCTTGGATATGGTGAGTCAGTGCGTCCATCGTCAGGGCAAATAAGAGCGGGCTGATCGCAGATCCTTGATGTAGCCCCATAACAACCGAGAAATGCTCGAGTTGCCCCCCACTATCCTAAAATAATATTTAACATATATATGCAGTACTCCCTCCGTTTTAATTTAGATGATGTAGTTTTACTTGGCATAACGTTTAAGAATAAAATAAGATTTTTGAAACATGTTATGACGACCCAAAGGGTCATCACCTATTTTTAATCGAATTCTGTGTCTCCGAGGCCTTGATAACCTCATTTAGAGTCGCCTTGATTTGCGCGCGCAGTCCGGGCGCGTAACTGGAAAGCTTAAATATGAAATTCTGTGAAAAATGCTAAGTTTTGATGTTAAAATGAATAAATTTGACCTTGGTCAACATTTTGGGTAAAAGGACCCAGACCCATGACTTGACGGTCCCGGAGGGTCCGTAGGAAAATATGGGACTTGGGCGTATGTCGGAAATCGAATTCTGAGGTCCCAAGCCCGAGAAATGAATTTTTTAGTAAAATTGTTTTCTGAAATTGTTTAAGGAAATTGGAAATGAAATCTGATTAGAAAGCGATGGTATCGGGCCCGTATTTTGGTTCCGGCACCCGGTACAGGTCTATATATGTTTTAAGTCCTTCCCGTGAAATTTGGTTGAAAACGGACGTCGTTTGACGTGATTCGAACCTAAATTGGAAAATTTGATGTTTAATGAAGTTTGAAGGAATTCATGGATTTTGAGGTTTAATTCGATATTTATGATGTCATTTTAGCGATTTG